TTAATTTTTATTTTAATAATTTTTAAATTAAAAAAATTATAAATAAAGATAAAATAAAATGCCCCCCACCCTCCTCCTTCGTCTCCGGCAGAGACGAAGGAGGAGGGGTGATGTGGCTGTCGTTTTTTGTTTTATTTTTTTAATTTTTTAATTTTTAAGGTTTTTAATTTAAAAATTATCAAAATAATTTTAAAATAAAATTTAAATAAATTAGTCCGTCACCGGTGAATTCGCTGTATGATACAAGTTGAATAGTCATGCACCTAATTTGAAAATGTTAATAGTCAATGACCAAATGTGATATAAATTGAATAGTCATGCACTAAAATTGAAAATTTAAATAGTCAAGGACTAAAACTGATACATGTATTATCGTCAAGACGACTAAAAATGATATTTTCTTTATATATTATTAAGATTTGTGTAATATTGTAAAATAGTGTACTATAATTCCTAATAGAATATATTGTTTCATACTTTTCTATTGGTACTACAATTCTACATTAAAATTCCTATTCTAATATTATAAAATAGTGTAATACAATTCCTTTTAAGGGATATATTGTTTCCTACTTTCCTATATGTACTACAATTCTACATTAAAATTCCTAATCATAATACAATACAACAATATTTAAATTCATATTTCAATTCAACAATATTATATATTTCTTTTCTCGTTAAAAATTATATTATCCATTATTAGTTTTGTAATTCTCCGTTAAATTTATTAAATTTCAAAATCCCATTAAAACTCAACTGCCTGGCTGAATAATTGTTTGAAAATAATTGATATGTATTTAAAAAGAATAATTGTCTGAAAATAAAAATTGCACGAAAATTACGCCGATTCAAAAAGGACGTGAATATTAATAATTAGCTAAAAATTAAAAAATGATCCCAAATTAATCAAAATGAAAAAGTAAATCGCCAGATCGCCCAAACAATACTATATGTAAATTGGAAAAGAAATATGTTATTAATATTTGACTGGAAATATTAATAAAAAAAAAGGAATTTGCTATTAATAATTAACTAATCGATATATATTAAATAAAAATAATTGACTGAGAATATAAATGGCACGGAAATTAGGTCAATTGAAAAAATAAATAAATATTAATAATTGACTAAAAAATAAACAAGATCCCCATATTAACTATTTCAAAAAGGAAACGGATTAACTATAGTATAGGTAAATAGGGAAAAAGGTATCTGTTATTAATAATTTTCTAGAAATATATATATAAATATGTTATTAGTAATTAACTAATTCATACATATTAAAAAAATAATTGGTTGAGAATAAAGATGGCATGGGAATTAGGTCAATTGGAAAAAAAATGAATATTAATACTTAATTTCAAATTAAAAATGATCTCAAATGGACTCAAATGAAAAATAAAAAATAAATAAAATAAAATAAAATAAAATAAAGGAAATGGCAAGACCGCTTACACAATAGTATATATAAATTGGAAAAGAAATCTGTTATTAATATTTGACTGAGAATATTAAAAAAGAATATGTTATTAATAATTAACTAATTGATATGTATTAAAAAAATAATTGAGTGAGAATATATATAATTCAGTGAGAATATTAAAAAAGAATATATTTTTTTTCTTTTTTGATCTATGAAGATTTGGTGTTATCAAATTCGGATAAGAAACAGTTCGCTCTAGTGGAGTTAGAGAAGTTGCTATCTCTGGGGGAAGAGCTTGAAGGAATTTCCAGAAATACCAATTCGAAACGAAAGCAGCATGGGTTTAATTTGATGGAAAACATGTTGATAGCTGAAGAGTTGGTGTATGACAAGGAATCGTTGAAGACAGAGCAGGAAGGTAACACAATTGAAGGACGAAAAAAAAGAATGTCTACGACTCTGTGATGAATGATATTGATTCTAATGGAGATGGATTGTTCTTTGTGCACGGTTATGGTGGAACATGCAAGACGTTAGTGTGGAGAACGTTATCTTCAAAGATAAGGAGGCACGGTGATATTGTTCTCAACGTTGGTTTAAGTGAAATAGCATCTTTGCTCTTGCTAGGAGACAGGATGGCGCATTCCGGATTTGCTATACCATTCTCTTTGAACGAAGATTCCACGTGCAATATATCGTGACCTTGCTAAGCTTATAATAAGGAGCAAATTGATAATATGGGACGAAGCAGCGATAACGCACAAACATTGTTTTGAGGCTTTAGATAAAACCATGAGGGATCTTTGAGGTTCGCCATACCGGGTAGTGATAAAAAGGCATTTGGTGGAAATATTGTAATTTTGGGCGGCGATTTTAGACAGATTATTCCCGTTATTCGAAATCAACTAGACTAATAGTTGTCGCAATCAGTACATGTACAACATGAATACTGCAGAAGGTCAAACATAATTAAGTTGTGACTCTTTGTGTAAGGCCGAATTAGATGGTGAAAATCTATCGGAAGTACACACTCTTGAATTCGTAAATAGTTTGAGATTTTCTAGGCTTCCTAATCATTCATTGACATTAAAGGTTGGTGCACATGTTATGTTATTGGAGAATATAGACCACTCTATTGGTCTTTGCAATGATACGTGCTTCTTTAATTTGTCACAAGATTGTCCGAACACATTGTCGAAGCAAAGAATAGTTAATGGAACTAATGAAGGAACCAAATTTCTTATCCCCTGAATGTCTCACTCCTTCTGATACAAGATTGCTCTTCACAATACCCGTTGATCATCGCATATGCCATGACTATCAACAAAAGCCAGGGACAACCAGTAACTCACATTGGGTTATTGCTAAAAAACCGGTCTTTAATTACTGTCAATTGTACATAACTTTTTCCCGAGTCACCCATCCTGATGGCCTGAAGGTGTTAGCTCTAGACAAAGATGAACAAGATTCGGTTGCTACTACCAATGTCGTCTACAAAGATGCCTTCAATAATGTGTAATTTCAACCAGTGATATTATGTTTTCTTTTTATGCGAAGATGACAAAATTGATACATATCTACACAGAAAATATATCTTCCACACAAATAAATTAGGATAACAAATGATTTCTATAATTGAGTTGCTAGACAACGAGCAAATTTGTCTAATTAATACAAATCCTAAACACTGATATATAATTCTCTAAAGTTTCAGCACCAGATTCGTACATATACACATTAGCTATTAATTGGATAATTATTTGTTCAAATTCAAGCAATGATAATATCATAAAATACAATTGATTGAACTCAATTCTTCAATTGCATTATATAATATTCAATGTTATAATTTATATAATTGTATATCGATCCAAATATTCTTAAAATATTATAACAAATCCATTCCGTGCATCGCACGGGTGGAAATACTAGTTTTTATTAGAAAGAAAGATTTTTTAGAAATTGGGCGGGAAGTTAAAGTTCAGGATTTTGTTTTTATATATAGTATAGATAGATTATAATGGGAATTGTATTAAACTATTTTATAATATTAGAATATGAATTTTAACATAGAGTTATAGTTCGAATAGGAAAGTATAAAACAATATATTTTATTAGAAAGAGAGATTTTTTAGGAATTGGGCGGGAAGTCAAAGTTCAGGATTTTGTTTTTATATATAGTTTATAATAGGAACTGTATTACACTATCTTATAATATTAGAATAGAAATTTTAACCTATAATTATATACGAATAGGAACATAGAAAACAATATATTTTTATTTGAAAGAAAGATTTTTTAGAAATTGTGCGAGAAGTTAAAGTTCAGGATTTTGTTTTTATATATAGTATAGATAGATTATAATAGGAATTGTATTACACTATTTTATAATATTAGAATATGAATTTTAACCAAGAATTATAGTACAAATAGGAAAGTAGAAAACAATATATTTTATTAGAAAGAGAGATTTTTTAGGAATTGGGCAAAAAATTAAAGTTTAGGATTTTATTTTTATATATAGTATAGATTTGAATTCAATTTGCCTTGTATTTATAAAGGTAATCTAAGATTACTTTAAAAAAATGGGGGTAATCACATTACCTTGAAACATTACCGCTACATCACTTTTCAGGTAATATAACATTACCTGGTAATCACATAACTTGAACCAAACAAGGTAATATAACATTACAAGACCTAGATTACCTAGGTAATCTAAGATGACCCGAACCAAACGCCCCCTCAAGGTAATCTAAGATTTGCCTAAAAAATGGGGGTAATCACATACCGCCACGTCAGCTTTTAGGTAATATAACATTACCTGGTAATCCCATAACTTGAACCAAACAAGGTAATATAACATTACCAGACCCAAATTACCTAGGTAATCTAAGATAACCCGCCTAATTGTCTTCGACCCTTCAACTATGAATTGGGTTCAACTTTAGCCATTTGACAAATACATTAACATTCGAACTGTCTTGTTCTAATATATATGGAGCAAATTTAGTCATTTGAGTGCAAGCCATACTTCGTATTAGCCGCTAACCAATTTACCCACATGATGTAACCAATCTGAATTACCTCACAATCCTCGAGCAAATGACTAAAATTAGACCAACTAATGGTTCAAAAGATAGCAATATTCAAAAAAAAAAAAAAATTTGGTTCGAAAAATGGACAATGTTCTTAAAAAATTTGAGCAGAATAAACTAAGATTCCATTCAAGAACCAACCTCAAAACTAATCATCACAACCAAACACAAAACAAATAATCATTTCAACCAGCTTGGTTGGTGTGAGTGATCATACACTCTCATTCTTTAAGAGGGGTAGGAGTTTGAACCTCCTCTCGTATGCAAAAATCAATCTGGTTAGTACTTTACCCCTTAATTGGGCCGGGCCGGTACGAATGAGGATTAGTCTTAGTACGGTAAAGGCTTAAAAGCGCCTCCTACAGTTAAGGCATGCTCAAGACACCTCATGGTTTAAGGGGTATTTCTACACCAAAACAAAATAACAATATATTCCAAACACACGTGTATGCCGGCCTTAATAACATAAGCTGGGTGATTTTATAAGAAAATGAGACAATCAAAAGTAGAACAGTAAATAAGAGGATGGGTTAATGCTCTTTAGAGATAGTTGCATTTCTTTTTATTTATCCACCAACACTGAGACATTAGGATAAGTATCTTAAATATCTACAACGTGGTCGAGTTTATTCATCTACTCCCAGCATGGCCATGAATCTTCTTGTGTCACAAAGATCTGGTAGTATCAAAGCATTCCCACCATTGCTGGCTCCCTTGAGCTCGTCGGCAGTAAAGATCCCTGTACAAACTCCCACAGGAAGAGCCCCTCCAAACTCGCCTGCTTCAATGTCACTTAACTGCCAAACATGTATAGTTCATAAAGTTGAAAGCAAACAATCAATGTAATAACTAGAGAAATCACAAATGCACGTTAAAGTAATTGAATGATGCGGAATATATTTTGTCTCAACTAAAAGTTTAAACTCATAGTTGGAATGCATGCTCAACAAAAGTGTTATAGAATATTCTGTGATATTGAGAATCCTATATATTAGGAAATCTAGAAATTAGAGTTTGAGGTATATGGAACCTTCCATACCAGTTTTCCTCTAACCCTACATTTATAGAGAGCTGAAATCCTCCCTAAAGGTGAGTGAGACAGAGAGAGAGAGAGAGCTGCTCCAGAGGTATTACATTCTAAACCTAATAACATGGTATCGGAGCCCCTTCAATAAATTTTTTTCCGGCGGTCTCATGTCATCACCGCCGACTCAGAAAGGTCCGACGGCGTCCGGCGACCACATCTGCAGCGTTTCCCGGTGCTCTGCTCTGCGCGTGGGCCTCACGCGCCGGCGCGTGCGGCTTCTCCGGTGACCGGAAACTTCTCCGGTCAGGTCCTCCAGGGTCGCCTAAGTCCTGCCGTCTCAGTTCCGGACTTAGTTTGGACCATTGCCACTTCGGTTATAAGGTTAGGTTGTTTCGTACCCCTTCGGGGCTCACTTTTCGGCATAATTTCTGATCTGTTTGGGCTCATGTTTTGGTGGGTATGGCTGATAATAAATCTGTTGTTGTCACTGATATTGTTCCTGTGACTTCTAAGATCACGGACTGTAAGCTTAATGACTCTAATTACTTGGAATGGACTCAAGTCATTCATCTTTATCTCACTAGTTTGGATAAGACAGATCACCTAACAACATCTTTGGCTAACCAAGAGCCTACTTGGGTGCGGGATGATGCATGTTTATTTCTGCAGATTCGTAATTCTATTGATGAGAGTATTGTTGGCTTCATTAGTCATTGTGGTTCTGTTAAGGAATTGGTGGCGTATTTGGATTATTTGTACTCTGGGAAAGGGAATATTACTCGTATTTATGATGTTTGCAAGTCTTTTTATCGTGCTGAGAAACGGGATTTATCTCTTATGACATACTTTATGGAATTTAAGAAAACGTATGAGGCACTTAATAAGCTTATGCCTTTCACTACTGACATTAAAACACAGCAACAACAACGTGAACAACTGGCTGTTATGAGTTTTTTGGCAGGTCTCCCTTCTGAGTTTGATATAGCTAGGTCTGCCATTCTGAGTACCTCAGACGTCCCTATCTAGCTGTTGTATTCCCACGTTTGATTCGTTCGGAGCAATTGCAACCGAGTCTTTCCGGAGTAACCATCCCACCACCAAGCAGTGCTCTCGTTGGCCGCCATCCTCGCAATGGGAACTCCCAGGGACAATCATCCAATCCGCCTCATAGTGGGACTAATAGAAATTCTCAAGGGTACAGTTCCGGTGGTATTGTATGTCATTATTGCCATAAGCCTGGGCACATAAAAAGGGATTGTAGGAAGTGGTTGAGGGAGCGGGGAAATTCCGCTGCTAATGTTGCATATACACCTGAGGCATCTTCCAAAACGGTCATGGTCTCTGCGGATGAGTTTGCCAAGTTCTCTCAGTACCAAGAATCCCTTAAACATTCATCCTCTTCGGTCACTGCTATTGCTGACTCAGGTAATACAACCACATGCCTTCTCTCATCCTCATCCAAATGGGTTATAGATTCGGGTGCTACAGATCATATGACAGGTAACTCTAGTCTTTTTTCCACGCTCTCTTCCCATCCACATAGTTCCCCGGTCACCTTAGCGGATGGATCCTCCTCTCGTGTACTTGGGTCTGGATCCATTACGTCAATCCCCACGCTTCCTTTGTCATCTGTCTTGCACCTACCTAATTTTTCGTTCAATTTAATTTCAGTCAGCCAGCTTACTCGTGTTTTGAATTGCTCTGTTACGTTTTTCCCTGATCATTGTGTGTTTCAGGATCTTATGACGAAGAGGGTTATTGGTAAGGGGCGCGAGTCTGGAGGTCTCTACGTTCTTGACACAGCGAGGCCGGAGTCTGTTGCGTGTTCTAGTGCTGTCACTCCAGTTGAAGCACATTGTCGTTTGGGGCATCCTTCCCTTCCCTTGTTGAAGAAATTGTGTCCGCGATTTTCTAGTTTGTCTTTTTTACATTGTGAGTCGTGTGAGTTTTCTAAGCACCATCGTGTGCATTTGAGTCCTAGAGTTCACAAATGAGCGTCTGCCCCTTTTGAGTTAGTACATTCTGATGTTTGGGGTCCATGTTCTGTGACATCTAAACTCGGTTATAAGTATTTTGTTACTTTTGTTGTTGATTTTTCCCGCATGACATAGTTATATCTACTGCAGTCTCGTTCTCAATTGTTTGATGTGTTTTGTGGGTTCTGTTCTGAAATTGAAATTCAATTTGGTATTCCTGTCAAAATTTTACGTAGTGACAATGCTAGAGAATATTTTTTACATCCTTTTGCCTCTTATATGCGTGGGAAAGGTATGATACATCAGTCCTCTTGTGTTGACACACCTTCCAAAAACGGCGTGGCTGAGCGAAAAAAATCGGCATCTGCTTGAAACTGCGAGGGCCTTGATGTTTCAGAGGGGGGTTCCCAAGCAGTTCTAGGCTGATGCTGTTTCCACAGCCTGTTTCTTGATCAATCGTATGCCCTCTGCGGTTTTGGATGGGAAAACACCTTGTCATACTCTGTATCCTTCGAAACCTTTGTTTCATATTGACCCACGAATATTTGGTTGCGTGTGTTTTGTTCGAGATGTCCGCCCCAATGTCTCCAAGTTAGATCCAAAGTCCTTGAAGTGTGTATTTCTTGGTTATTCTCGTGTGCAAAAGAGGAGTTATACTCTGTATCCTTCGAAACCTTTGTTTCATATTGACCCACGAATATTTGGTTGCGTGTGTTTTTGTTCGAGATGTCCGCCCCAATGTCTCCAAGTTAGATCCAAAGTCCTTGAAGTGTGTATTTCTTGGTTATTCTCGTGTGCAAAAGGGTTACAAATGTTACTCTCCTGAGCTTGGTAAGTACCTTGTTTCCATTGATGTCACCTTTCATGAGGATGTTCCTTTCTTTCCTGCATCTCCTGATGTTATTCATGAGGGGGAGGGAGATGATATCTTGATGTATACGGTCACGTCCTCTGCTCCTATCTCTGTTCCTACTCCTCCTGTCTTACAGGTGTATTCTGGTAGACCTCGGCCTGCTGCACCCGTTCCGGCATCGCCTCCTGCTTCCCTTCCGGATCCAGTACCAGCTCAATGCCCTGAAACCACCGCTGTGTCATTTGATCCAGTCTTGGATGATGATCTTCCGATTGCTCAACGGAAAGGTAAACGTAGTTGTACTTATCCTATTTCCTCTTTTGCGACATATGATCGGCTGTCATCTGCCTCGTGTTCTTTTATTGCTTCCTTTGATTCTATTCTAATCCCTGATGAATGAAGAGCAGCTATTTCATCAACCATAGCTTGACGCCAACCAGGGTGGGAAAGGGTTTCTTTAACATATTCAGGAGCAGAGACAGAAGATAAACATTTGATAAAAGCATTATATGAAGGTGAGAGACGATCATAAGAAATAAAGTTTTATATGGGAAAGGGATTTCTTGATGACCTGTTACCTACACGACTTGCGATAGGAGAGCTTGTTGCTGGAACCGGGTCTGAAGACAAAGATAGCTCGAGAGATGAATCAGTTGGGTTTTCATCGATTTGAACTGTCGTGGGTGGTCGAGGACGGCGATGATAAGTATAAGGAAAGGGAGTGATATATTGTTTTGTAAATGAGGTGTTATAGGTGAGGGATTAGGACACCTAGGTGATGATGGAGCTTGAGGTAAATGTACCATGGTCCCTCATTGAAAAGTAGGGATATGAAGAACATCAGGAAAGGGAGAGATGGAGGCTAGTGAAGTGGACAAAAAGAAAGGTGTTGATCCAAAATAGTAACATCAGAAGATACATAAAAACAACGCTTATCAGGGGAATAACACCTAAAACCTTTTTGTAACTTCATGCATTTTAAGGATTTTGGTGAAAATTTATCACGTCCTGAGGTAGTGTCCCGGACAAAACAGGTGCACCCAAAAATTTTAAAAAAAGAAGAGTATGAAGGGGCTGATCGAGAAATAAAATATCATAAGGTATCTAACCATGTAAAACATATGAAGGCATACGATTTATTAAATAACAGGAATGAAGGATAGCATCTGCTCAGAACTCTGGAGGAACTTTATAGTGGAGAATCATAGTGCGGGCTGTTTCAACGAGACTCTGGTTTTTACGTTCAGATACCCCATTTTATTGTTGAGTGTCGGGACAAAATGACTCATGGAAGATGCCTGCTGAATCAAGAAAGTTGCATAATGGAGTCGTAAAATATTCTCCAGCATTATCACTTCGTAAAGTTTTAATAGACACTCCAAACTGATATTTTATTTCATTGACAAATTTGCGAAGAACATTAAGTACTTCAAAATGGTTTCGCATTAAAAAGACTCATGTACAACAAGAAAAATCATCAATGAAGGTAACAAAATATTTAAAACCAAGAATTGAATTATAACGAAAAAGTCCCCAAACATCAGTATGAATTAAGGAAAAAGGGGAAGCAGCTCTTTTATTAACACGATTAAGAAAAGATGTTATAGAATGTTTGCCAAGCTAACAGGCTTCACACTCTAGGGTAGATAAGTGAGACAAACTAAGGACAAGTAGCCGTAATTTATTAAGGCTGGGATGTCCTAATCGGTTATGAGCAAGGGAAGGAGGAATGGTAACAGTGCAAACTGTAGGAGGATTTGAGATAGATAATCGATAAAGTCCTTCTGATTCATACCCTGAGCTAATCATCTTCCCCGAACAACAGTCCTGCATAATGACAAAAAAAAAAAAAAAAAAAAAAAAAAAAAAAAAAAAAAAAAAGGTGACCGTACATGATGGACAGAAATTAAATTGAAAGGACAGTTAGGTATATAAAGAATTGAAGAGAGAGGCAAAGTAAGAAGGGGGAAGCCTTTTCAATTGCAGTAGACGTACTCTTGGAACCCATTATCGAAAACAATATATGAAAGGGACTTAGACTTGGTGAAATGAGAAAATAAAGATGAGTTACCAGAGATATGCTCAGAGGCACCTGAATCGATAACCCATGGTCCGCTCAGACTAGGTTGTGATACAAGAGCAGTATGAGTTTCGTCAGTGTAGGCTGCCGAAGTTACACCAGAAGCTTTGGGATTGGCTTTAAATTGAACAAACTCTTCATACTCAGTAGCGAAAATAGTTTGAGAATTCGGTTCTCCGGGTTGAGTTTGAGCAACACTTGCTTGGGTACATATCGGTTTCCCATGAAGTTTCCAACACTGATCCCGTGTGTGTCCAGTTCTATTACAATAATCACAAACTCTAGTGTTTTTCTGTCAACCACGATCTTTAGATCGTCCACGACCTCCTTGTGTGACTAGAGCAAATTGTTCGTAGTGGATGTGTGAGTAACTGGAATGGAGGTCACTTGCAAGAGACGTTTGAACAACTCGGTGGTCCCCGAGACAGTGTTGCTTCCAAGAACTTGATTCTAGATGCTTTCAAATTCTGGACCTAGTTTGGTTAAGAGAAGTATTACAAAGAATTTCTCTCGTTGGGTAAGTTGCTCTGCGGACGTACCACCAATAGGCATGAGTGTACCAAACTCAGCCGATCAAACTTTGGGCTTTGCCAAGAAAAGTTTCCATATCAATACCATCTTTCTTCAAGTTAACTAAATTGTCAACAACATTGTAGAATTGAGAGACAACATTAGTGTACAGAGATTTAGCTTGATTCCACACCTCGACACATGTCTTAAAGGGCCGGAATAGGGGCAACAATTATGGGGAAGAGACTGCCAAAGGAGACTACAAAGTTGAGCATCTAACCTTTGCCAAACTGCCTTTTCTTTCTCCGGTATCATATCCACCCTTTTGTAAGTGGTCAACAACACCTTGGCCCATAAACATTAACTCTACAGCATCCGACCAAGAGTGGTAATTTCGAGAACCACATAATTTTTCAGAAGTGATCACCGGGCTTCCAGACAAATTAGGCACATAAATAGAGCTAAAAAAAAAAAAGTAGGTGAATTACTAGCAGGAGAAATACCTGAAGAATTTTCGTCAGAAGACATCGCGACCAAAAAGAAATTTGATGGCACAGACGAAGTCGCGGAGGGCCGACGAGCAGGAATGGAAAGTTTCGCCGGAAAAAGCAGCCGGAGACGGCCTCACACGCCGGCGCATGGTGTCGGAGCGCCGGCGATGTGGTGGCACGTGGAGGGTGTTTCGACAACCGGAAAAGATGGGTCAGGATCGCCGGAGACTGGAGAAGAGGGTTGTAGTACTGTTTTGACAAAAGAACTCACCTAAGGGAAGTAATCTGAGAAACTAGTTTCGAATGAACAGTACTGGATACTGTTCACCGGGAAAAAAAATCAAATTTTGACTTCTAATACCATGTTGAGAAAGATGTAGAAGGATTTGTTGTTGTTGAAACCCTCGGTCCTTTTAGAAATAGGCCCATTAGGTTAATAGCATATTCTTATTTAAATATTAGATGTTTGTACAGTTATTTTGAGTTGAATAGAATGAATCTTTCTACTATTCAACATGGTATCAGAGCCTAAACCCTAAAATAAAATACCCATTCTTTTCCGCCGCCACAACCACTGGAGAAGCCACTGCCGCGACTGTTCTTTTTGTTCCGACCCTTGCCTAGTGATTTTTCTCCCAAACCAACTCCACAGGTGTAATCGGAATCGTCGCGAGCCTGAGGCTAAAATCCAGTCACCGTTTGCCGCCACGCGCCACCGCCGTCGCCGAGATCTGGGTTCGCTTTCCGATCAGATTTCCCTACTCCGACCTCTGATCGCGACGTCGTTGCCACCGTTGGATTCGTCTCGAGGAAACGCTTCAGACTGTGTTTTCCATTTCCTCATCTCTGCCGGTCAACTCGCCGGTCAACGGTCAACCATCCTTTGAGGCAGTTTTTCCCTTTCCTTTTGAATAATATTATGGCTTCATCTCTCGCCGGTACCTCTTCTCTGTTGTGTCTTTCTCAAGCTAGTAACACAAATACTTGGATTCTAGACACAGGTGCCTCATACCATATTTCTGGTAATCTATCCCTTATGACTAATGTCATAAAGTCTAAGGCGTTGCCCATGGTTACCTTAGCTAATGGTAATCAAACACCAATTGTCGGTGTTGGTCAAGCTCATCCTATGCCATCTTTTCCCTTAAAGTCAGTTTTATATGTTCCTAATAGTCCTTTAAACCTTGTCTCTGTGAGTAAAATCACTTGTACCCTTAATTGTTCTGTAACCTTTTGTGCGAATTCGGTTGTTGTGCAGGACCGTAGTACGGGGAAGGTGATTGGCACTGGGATTGAGTCATAAGGCCTCTATTACCTCCGTGGTGGTGATCTTGCTGCCTGTGCTTCTACATATTCTCACCTGCTTCTCCATAGCCGTTTGGGCCACCCTAGTCTTTCCAAACCCGAGGTAGAAGAGGGAAAAGATCAACCGAAGGATACACAATGGAATATGGGGTTTCATTGTTTAGGACTGAGGATGACATGCGATTTATCAAGTGACAGGGGGAGCCATTACTTGACTGAGAACGATATAGGAGATTAATTGAAAAATTGAATTACCTCACAATTACACGACCAGATATCTCTTTTGCAGTTAGTGTGTTGAGTCAGTTTCTTGAGAATCCTTGTGATACTCATTGGGATTTATACCAATTGGATATCAAGAATGCTTTTCTACATGGCGATCTTCAAGAGGAGGTTTATATGGAGCAACCACCTGGGTTTGTTGCTCAGGCGGGAGCCTGGTCTAGTATGTAAACTTCGTCGTTCCTTATATGGTTTGAAGCAATCTCTACGGGGTTGGTTTGGAAGATTTAGCTCTGTGGTATGTGAGTTTGGTATGACTAGAAGTGAAGTTGGTCATTCCGTTTTCTATCATCATTCTAATGGGAAATGCATATACCTTGTAGTATATGTGGATGACATTATTATTACAGGGAGTGATCAAGAGGGCATATCTTAGTTGAAAGAGTATCTTTTCAGTTGATTTCAGACTAAGGATTTGGGTAAGCTGAAATACTTTCTTGGAATTGAAGTGGCCCAGTCTAGTAGTGGTATTGTCATTTCTCAAAGAAAGTATGTATTGGATATTTTAGAAGAAACTGGCATGTCGGATTGTAGACCGGTGGATAATCCAATGGATCCGAATGTTAAACTCTTACCAGGACAGGGGGAGCCATTACATGACCGAGAATGATATAAGAGATTAATTGGAAAATTGAATTACCTCACAATCACACGACCAGATATCTCTTTTGCAGTTAGTTTGTTGAGTCAGTTTCTTGAGAATCCTTGTGATACTCATTGGGATGCTGCTGTTCAGGTTCTAAGGTATATCAAGAGAGCACCAGGACAAGGTTTACTATATGAAGATAGAGGACATGCTCAGGTTATTGGGTATTCTGATGCAGATTGGGTTGGTTGTCCGTTTGACCGGCGCTCTACTTCGGGTTATTGTGTACTCATTGGTGGTAATCTCATATCTTGAAAAAGTAAGAAGCAAGATGTTGTTGCCAAGTCCAGTGCTGAAGCTGAATACCAAGCCATGGCCCTTGCCACGTGTGAGCTTATGTGGCTGAAGCACTTACTACAAGAGTTGCAATGTGGCAAGGTTGCTCAAATGACATTGATATGTGACAACCAAGCAGCTCTACACATCGCCTCAAATCCAGTTTATCATGAGAGAACCGAACACATTGAGGTTGATTGTCACTTCATTAGAGAGAAGAGTGTGTCAAGGTGTATCAAAACAAGCTTTGTCAACTCTGCAGATCAATTGGCTGATATTTTGACGAAACCCCTTAGAGCTCCTAGGGTTGAGTATATTTGTAATAAGCTTGGAGCATATGATTTATACTCTCCAGCTTGAGGGGGAGTGTTGAAACCCTAGGTCCTTTTAGAAATAGGCCCATTAGGTTAATAGCATATTCCTATTTAAATAGTATATGTTTGTACAGTTCTTTTGAGTTGAATACAATGAATCTTTCTACTATTCAACAATTGTATTACTTCCATGTCTCAATGGAGAGACAACAGACAAATATATACAGATTTAAAGGACACAATCCTACAGACACAACTCTACACAACTAACAGACATATTTCTACAGACACAATTTTTGTGTTTCAACAGGAATGACGTTGAGAAAGGCTTCCTCCCGTTTAACTCTCATTCTTGTTCCCAGGTCGGTCACATCGCTTGAGCTTAGTCTAAATTCCTATCCTTCTTCGCCTTTTCTATCATTTGCTATTCGTTTAGTTGTTGCTTCTATTAGTCTACTTCTATCTTGCACAACCAATATTTCTTAGGATTAGATTTCTATAGAGGTTTTAGTACTTTGTGTTTGAAAGAAACATAAGCATACATCTATTGTCAATTCTCTATCTATTGTCAATCCTCAAGAGAATGACAATTACTCACCCTCTCTAAAAGACTCTTCATCACATGACTCATCTTCCTTTACTACATGGAAGGAATAGTGATTCACATAGAAGAATGAATCAGAGTAACTACGATTAAATATGAAATCCCATCTCAATTCCAGCATACCAAATGAAAATAGGGTAATAACATAGAGTCAGACAATCTAGTGCAGAAAAATCAATATGAGAAGGCGAAGGCATTCATAGAAAAATACAAACAAGTAGAATTTGACTTACTGTATCTCCAACATGCACCCGTAAGTCCAAATTCCCGGGAAATAAGTTTTCAGCCCTCTCTGCTGCTATTCTCACGAGATGTCCACGCTCCATATGATCACTCCCAAATCTGATGTGTAAGTATAGAACAATATAACAAAACAACTAGACAATCTGAAAGATCAGTAAAAGGCAGCCCAGCTAGAGTGCCTAAGTTTCAAAATACCCTCCAAAGTTAGGAACTGTGAAGTATTTCTTGATGCCTAAGGCCTCCATCTTCATCCACGCAATTTCTTCCAAGTTTCCAGTCACCTAGAGCACGGAAATGGCAAATGTTAAGGAATACATATTTACTGTTGGATGGAGGTCGGTGAAGGGCCAAGTACAGCACCAAATGGCTAAGGGGATTGTTGGGCAGAGGCCTGAAGGGCCAAGTCCAGCGCCCTGCCTCTCAAAAATGTTGCGGTATATAAGGAAATAAAGTTGCATTTTCGCTACGAGCTATAGCTACATAGTAGTAAGTATTTGATCCTAACATTTACATATAGCAAATTTCAAGACAGATATCTGTTTTGAAATAAAATAAACTATGTTCATTCATTGATCTGTTTTGAAAAAAATAAACTATGCTCATTCATTTATTGTTCTGCAGCAAGGTCACTTATTGCAGTTAAAAACTGCAAGGCCATCTCTACTCCTCTTATAACGTTATCTGTTTAGTGCCATCTATATTCAACTTTAAGGTTTTCCTTTATTTATTTGCGAGTTTTGAACCTCTTCAAGCAACCTCATTACACAAAAGGCACTACAAAAGTTTATGCACCAATAGTATAGTAGTGCGGAAGACCTGTTTGAGATCTATAGTTTTGGATTTTAACTGAGTTGCAATTCCACACAACATTGAATAAATGTGCAAAAATCTATTTCTAAACGCAAACCTAGAGTCAAAGGCATACTGTTGACACAGGGAAACACAAATCTAAAGTGTTGTTCCGACAACAAAAAGTTCTTTTCCAACAACCGAAAGGAAATCATTACTGAAAACACATGCAAGAAAAAGCAATATGCCAAAAAAAAAAAAAAAAAAATCAGGTCACAAATAGTATAGGTTCCAGAATACTCACCAGCCCAATTATAACATTTTTCTGTGATGATAGACGTTGAAGGAGAGTTTCAACTCCGGGGAGCACTTCGAGACCCTTTCCGATATCCTCAGCATGGCTCTTTACATAATCTACCATGCTTGATTTAAGAATCGGCAATTTCCCATTTGCCAACTGGTCATTAGATTACCAAAAACAATTGAAAACAGAAACCACACTGCAAGATTCGAGTGAAATTGAAATATGAACAAAAACAGTGTTCAATAATAATCAAAGAATTACCACTATATTTTCCCAGATGAACATCAATGAATTTCAAAAAAAAAAAGAGAACATAAACTCCCTGCAACTGCAAGAAAAGCTACCAACCTCATAAGGAATGCCATAGTGAACAAGGGTCTTCACAATAATTGCCGGGTCTGTTTGACCATGATACTACTCCAATAAAGAAGAAAAAATCACTGTCATTCATGTAGCAATTGGTATATTGTGATGGCTCAAGCAGTAGACACCACTAACGCAATTTGATGTGTATACTTATCTCAAACTCAGCTTAAATGCAATTACTATTTAGTTTTACTGCAATAGAATATTTGGTTTAAGTGCAATAATGTATGTAGAAAACTAAAATGGAAGAAGTTGTGGATACTAACCTCGTTTCCCTGTTTCTCTGTTTATTGTGTGTGTCCTTTGACTGCTTACAACTCAGATATATATACTATAACAATGGACAGTTTCACAGACTTTTCACCTCCTAGCCTATTTATTGTTATGCCTTTCATCTTCTATAACTGCTTATTTCTAACACTCCCCCTCAAGCTGGAGCATAGATATTAAGCATGCCCAGCTTGTTACAAATATATTCAACCCTGTCCCTACTGAGCCCTTTAGTGAACAAATCAGCTAGTTGATCGCCACTACGAACATAAGCCATAGAAATTAAGCCTTGTTGAATCTTTTCACGCACAAAATGACAATCTACCTCAATATGCTTGGTACGCTCATGGAACACTGGATTATTTGAAATGTGTATAGCCGCTTGATTATCACACCACAAACGTATAGGCTTTACCACTTCCACACCAACTTCCTTCAACATATTGTGCACCCAAGTTATCTCACATGTCACATGAGCCATTGCCCTATACTCAGATTCCGCACTGGACCGAGCCACAACAGTTTGTTTCTTGCTTTTCCAAGAAACCAAATTACCTCCCACGAACACACAATATCCTGTTGTAGACTTCCTGTCGCTCAACGAACCTGCCCAATCAGCATCTGAAAAAGCCTCAATTCTCATATGTCCATGATCAGCATATAGAATGCCTTTACCGGGCGCATTCTTGAGATACTTTACAATTCGAACTGCTGCTTCCCAATGAGCTCGTGTAGGTGCTTGCATGAATTGACTTACCACGCTGACTGGAAAAGCAATGTCTGGACGCGTAATGGTGAGATAGTTCAACTTTCCCACCAACTTCCTATATCTTTCTGGAGAGTCAAAAGCCTCCCCCTCACCAGCCACAAGTCTAACGCCCTGCTCCATAGGGGTCTCGCATGGTTTTGATCCCAACAGCCCAGTATCATCAAGCAAATCTAACACATATTTCCTTTGGGAAAGAAATATTCCTCTCCGAGAGCGAGCAACTTCAATCCCTAGAAAATACTTCAATACTCCCAAATCTTTCGTGTGAAACTTTTCTTTGAGAAAAGATTTAAGAGCTTCAATTCCCACTGCATCACTACCTGTGATTACTATATCATCAACATAAACAATCAAGAGAATGCACCCAACATTAGTGTGCTTGAAAAAGACAGTATGATCACACATACTCCTTTGCATACCAAACTCAATAATCACGCTACTAAACCTCCCAAACCAAGCTCGTGGTGATTGCTTCAAGCCATATAGAGACTTCTTCAATTTACACACTCTCCCAGACTCCCCCTGAGCAACAAACCCAGGAGGTTGCTCCATGTAGACTTCCTCATCCAACTTACCATGCAAAAAGGCATTTTTGACATCTAGCTGATACAGAGGCCAATGTTTAGACGCAGCTAAGGAAATAAAAATACGTACTGAAGTGATCTTAGCGACAGGGGAGAATGTTTCTGTATAATCAACACCATAAGTCTGTGTATATCCCTTTGCCACTAAACGAGCTTTAAGTCTAGCCACAGACCCATCAGGATTCATTTTCACAACATAAACCCATTTGCAACCAACTGCCGTCTTACCAGCCGGGAGGGGTACCAAATCCCAAGTATGATTGTCTTCAAGAGCAACCATCTCTTCCTCCATTGCGTGTCTCCACCCATCATGAGCTATTGCTTGACTCAAAGTGTTTGGAACTGACACAGAATCTAAACGTGATACGAAGGTGCGAGATGATAGTGGCAAATGATCATAAGACACAAGAGAGGAAATAGGGTTTTGACAACGACGTTTACCTTTACGAAGGGCAATGGGAAGATCCAGGTCATTTGACGAAGATTCTGGTAAGGGGGAAGTATCCACTTGCGGTTCAGGCGGTGCCACTGCATCTCTCGGCCGTCGAGTATAAACCTGTGTAATGGGGGGCCTAGAAACAGACTCGACTGGTATGGTAATAGTATACGTAAGGAAATCATTATCTGGAGTAGACCCATACCCAGACGATCCCACATCCCCAGAGAACACCATGTTTTCAAAGAAGGTAACATCAGCTGACACTAAATACCGCCCCAAGTTAGGTGAATAACACCTATAACCCTTTTGAGTACGCGAGTACCCCAGGAATATACACTTAAGTGATTTAGGATCAAGTTTCCTGCGTTGAGGACGAACATCCTGGACAAAACAAGTGCATCCAAATATTTTTGGTGGGAGATGAAAGAGAGGTTCTGTTAGATACACCAAAGAATAAGGAATTTGTCCTTTAAGGACAGATGAAGGCATCCTGTTGATCAAAAAACACGCAGTATGAACAGCATCAGACCAAAAAACCTTAGGCACCTTCATCTGAAACAAAAGTGCCCGAGCGACTTCTAACACATGACGGTTCTTTCTTTCTGCCACTCCATTTTGCTGAGGGGTATACGCACACGAGGACTGATGAACCATCCCATTTTGGCTCATATAAGTGGAAAAAGGTTTAGAGAAATACTCTTGTGCATTGTCACTTCGCACACACTTAATACTTTTATTAAACTGGGTTTTGATCTCAGCACAAAAATTACAAAAAATTGTAAACAACTCATCTCTAGATTTCATAAGATATAACCACGTACACCTAGAGAAGTCGTCTACAAATGTTACGAAATATCTAAACCCGTTCGTCCCTGTGACATGACAAGGACCCCAGACATCAGAATGAACAAGATCAAATATAGATTGCACTCTGTTATTGACACGAGGAGGATAGGAACCCCGACAATGCTTAGCAAACTCACACGACTCACACTGCAAAGTAGACAATGACTCTAAACCAGGAAACAACTTCTTTAGGATCGACAGTGATGGATGACCATACCGACAGTGTAGTTGAAGAGGAGAGGTATCACTCAACATGGCCTTGGACGGAGATACAGACTGTTCCAAAACATATAGTCCTCCGATTTCCTTCCCCTTACCAATAATCTTCTTCGTCAAAAGATCCTGAAATAAACAATAACCCGGAAAAAAGGAGACAAAACAATTCAAAGTCCGTGTGATTTGGCTAATGGAAAGCAAATTAAAGGGAAACTTTGGAAGATATAATATAGATGACAAAGGTAATGAGGAGGTTGCAACAGCACTGCCTCGACCTAAAACTGGAACAGATGACCCATCTGCCAGAGTAACCATGGCCCCAGGGTTTGATGAAGAATATGAGGAAAAAATTTTAGAATTACCTGTCATATGGTCACTAGCTCCGGAGTCAATGACCCATTGTGTAGATGAAGAAGACACACATGCAACAGGATTACCTGTTTGGACAAAGGTGGCAGAAGAAGTCGGTTGATTGGATGGAAACTGGGGTGGAGACTGCACAAGAGAAGACCCCTTCAGTTGATTGAATACTGCTAACTCCTCATTTGTCATAACCACCATATGTCCTTCAGGCCCAGAGGTTGTGTTAGCAAATCTTTGCTGTCTTGGTGGTTTAGGACATTGATTCTTGAAATGTCCTGGTTCTCCACAATTGAAACATACCCTTGGTCCTCCACGACCTCCTCCGCGGCCCCTTCCTCCACGTCCTCGATGACGACCACCTCCACCGTGACTATTGTACCCTTCATTAGTATACCTCCCTTGCGACACAAACGTACTTCCTTCGTTATTGCTGCCTTGTGATATAAAAACGTTCTTCTCGGGGGGTTCATCAGTACTTACTGATGCATTCTGTATCTGGGAGAATACTTGATCCAATGATCCTAACTCTTTGTTTCCCAGCAATTGTGACCTAAGAACCTCATACTCTTTGTCAAGTCCAGAAATCCAGCTAAAGGCAATTAATTGATCACGTTGAGCTTTCATTGTTTTTACATCAGTTGTAATAGGCATCGCAGTACATAAAGCTTCACTTAAACTTTTGAAATCATAATAGTAATCTCGTAGATCTCGACCCTTTTGATTAGGACGATAAACATCCTGGGACAACTGATACAGTTTCCTCAAATTACTTGACCCACTAAACCATTCAGACACTAGATCCCACACTGCTTTAACCGTGGTACAATGTTGCATTGATAAGATCACTTTCCTATCAATACAATTAATTACCCGCGATAACAAAGCTTTATCATCTGCCTCCCACTCCTTATTATCTGGAGGGCAATCTGTATCTAAATGGTCACCTTTACCCATTCCATCCAAATTAATTTTGACCAAAAATTTCCATTCAGCAAAATTAGACCCATCAGCAGCCAGAACTACATCAATTAATTTAGACGGAGTAGACACAACAGTAATATTTTTGTTTTCTGCCATATTATATACGTGCCCAGTAAAAAAAAAAAAAAACACAGCAATACTCCAAATTAAAGCTGGATATGAAATTACCGCAGTACTGAACCACAATACTGAACTTCCATTATCCAATATTCAACAACACTCCAGAAGGCACAAAGAAAGGCACACACTACTCCAAAAGGCAAAAACAAACAATATTACCGCACAGCAGGTTTGTCTTCTCTCTCGCGAACGATATGAAGTTGCTCGAAACCTCTTTCTCTCCACTCATACGGACTCTACACTTTACGGCGAGCCCACCGGTGTATTCGCCGTCGAAGATGGTCGCCGGAAAACTCCTTCACGCGCCGGCGCGTGAGTCGGCGAGCAGTCTGTGACGGTGGCGCGTGGCGGCGCGTGGCTGCTCCGGTGACGTCGCGACTCGAGCTCCGGCGTCGTCCTCCCGTTCCGAGCAAAGCCCACTACTTCACTCTCACCGGCTCTGATACCATGTAGAAAACTAAAATGGAAGAAGTTGTGGATACTAACCTCGTTTCCCTGTTTCTCTGTTTATTGTGTGTGTCCTTTGACTGCTTACAACTCAGATATATATACTATAACAATGGACAGTTTCACAGACTTTTCACCTCCTAGCCTATTTATTGTTATGCCTTTCATCTTCTATAACTGCTTATTTCTAACAATGTACAGTATATAAAAATGCACATCAAATTGCAAGTAGCAATATGCAATTATGTATTGCTCTGTCTTGCTCATATTCTTCAAATTTGGACACTGCCCAATCAACATTCTCAATCATTACAAAGTTGCACAATGTTCATCCATTTGTCCCTAAACTTGTTAAATGGCCTTTTTGTCACTAAATCTGTTAACTTTTAACATTGGAACAAAATTGGGCAAAGTGAAAAGATAGGGTACCAACTACCAAATGCCATATTTGGTCTCCAATCTTTCCACTATGCTTCTTTTATGTCCACAAGTAATACCCAATTTAGTACTCGACTATAGTGGTTTTTCTTGATTTAATGCTAAACGACTTTTTGTGCTTAATTAGGTCCTCGACTTCGATGGTTTTACCTGAGTCCTCAACTGTTGGAATCAAGGACTAAATCGAGAACAATCACTATAGTCTAAATTGGGTAAAAACATTATAGTCGAAGACTAACTTGGATAAAACTATTATAGTCAAGGATTACATTGGGTATTGATAGAGATGAAATTACCAAGCTATCTTAACAAGGACTCAATTGAGTAAAACCTTAAAAGTCGAAGACCTGCATAAAAACTCATTTATGACTAAATCCAGAAAAACCACTATAGTCGAAGATTAAATTGGGTATTAACTCATTCATCAAAGTTTGATGGAGTTAGCGATTGAGAAAATAGAGGATAATTTTATGACGATTGAAGACATTGAATAGGGTAAAACTGTTAAAAGTAGTAAATAATAGATTAAAAAAAAAAAGGGTTTAAAAAAAACTCAGTAAAAAGTAAAATTTGGGCAATGGTTAAGCAGTATAAAATACTGCAGAAATTAATTCACTTAGATAAAATCATAAAAACAATCAAATATATACTTTGTAAATAATTCATCATATCATGATGAATCTTCTTTAATTTTGATAGGATACTTTTACAGTAAGAAGTTCCATACATCTAAGAATTTCCAGAAGTAGATAATAATGAGGTGATTATAAGAAAAAAGGTAACCTTGATTGCATCAATGGAGCCTTTAACATTGAAAACTTGAAGAAAAGCGTGAGAGAAGGCTTGGCGATGCAGCAACCCAGAACTCTTTATCAGAGTTCCATCTATATCAAAGGTCACCAAAATCCTCTTCATTTTCTTCTTCGATCTATATCTGCTCTTTCAAATCTCATTATATCAATGATTTCATTGGATTGCATCTGGGACTTCTATTTCACAAAGATCATATTTTGTTCCATTTTGCATTAACATTTTGCTAACTGGTATCTAAAATTAGTACTCTCTTCAATCTCATTTTATAGGTTAGTTATTAACGACTGAAGTTATTTTTAATTAAATTTTTGAGTTAATACCCAAAATTGTCTTCAACTACAGTGATTTTTTTCAATTTTGTCTTAAACGACTTTGGTGACTTAATGTAGTCCCAGAGTTTTGTGTTTTTACTCAATTTCGTCTCAGACTTTTGTGTTTTTGCTCAATTTAGTCCCTCATATGTTATTCCGTCCATTTGTTGTTAAATAAATAGATAATTCAGTAATTTTAATATTGGCATCTCTTTATTCATAGACATGTGAAGTGCGAAATCACTCTTTTTTTACGAATTACTCCCAGAATCACTTCTAAAGCTGCGAATATAAAATTTGATTCGTAGGTCCGAGAGTAACTCTGGGTGTAATTCGTGTAAGAAAGAGAGATTTCTCACTTCGCAGGTTGAAAGTAAAGAGAGGTCAATATTGATATTATTGAATTGTCCCTTTATTTAACACCAATTTGACGCAATAACAAACGGAGGACTAAATTGAGCGAAACACAAAAGTCTGGGACTATATTAGGTCACCAAAGTCGTTTAGGACGAAATTGAGAAAAACCACTATAGTCGAGGACAATTTTGGGTATTAACTCTTAAATTTTTTAAGATATTAATATACAAATTTATATATTTAAAAATTATATTAAAAATGCTATTAAATATAAAAAATTAAATTTAAAAATATACTAAAAGCGTTTTTATTTGTCATTTTTAATTAATAGGGGTAGAGATTTTTTTTTTTTTTGATTTTTTTCTGTAAAATAAAAATTTTTGTGGGCTCATTGATTGAGGAATGGAAAGAAACTACTGCGAAGCTTGTGGGTGGCAAGGATTGTCGCACCCAGCATGACGCGTGCACGGAGCAGTCAGGACCGTTTCTAAGAAGATTGGGGTCTTATGCCAAAATTTAACGTAGGTCATTTTTTGTATAATTGTGAACTAGTAAATTACCTGTGCGATACATAGATAAATCTTTTTTATTATATATTTAAATAATAAAATTAATGATGAAATTATAAACAATTCTAATATTTGAAAGTGTACATTTATTTGAAATTATAAGATTTGTATATTAGTATTGAAATTGATTACTTAAAAAATTATGTTAGGAAAAGTCTAAACAAAAAATAGAAGGAAGAGAATTGCTAATTGATATTATTTTAAGTAACAAAAATATACTATAATCAAATGAAGATATATTATATTGTACCAAAATATATAATAATTTATAAAAAAAATTATCATTCAAGTTTTCACTTGAAAAGTGACATTCTTCCTCTTATTCAACCATATTTTGATGTAAAATCATTCACCAAAGTCTTTCTTACAATATACTTGATCATAAGTAAGATTTCAACAACTTCAACTTTAAAAAACTTCTTTATGCATAAACAACAGTAATAAAAATAGTCAAGACTATTTGATATTGCAATTGTAGCATCAAAATACAAGCAATTAGATTGTTATTCACCTATCAAAAAAATCTCTAGCTAAGGTTAGTTATTAAATTAATAATTTTAAAATTTTGAATAAAATTAAAAGATTAAAATATTTAACTTACATACTTTCATCCTTTTATCGTGAAGAATAAAAAAATTGAGGATGTCAAATGCACAAATAATGCACTTCAAATTAATGATTACTGAGACCGAATTTCTCTATTATGAATACAAATTTTGTGTGTACTCATTATAATAGAAATATGAGTAATTTTTTATTCTTTATACATAATAATTTTACAATAGTCAAATAGACTCGCCTCAATTCCTATAAGTTATAGTACTATAACTCTATATGTAATCAAGTACTTAGGAATTAAGAATGTAAGTTTTATAGAATTTTAGACAGTCTTAATTTCTTGGAATAAGGTTCAAATTGACCACTGAAAAGTAACCTGAAAATGCAATTAGGCCACTTAACGAAAATAAAGTGCAATTAGGTCACTGAACACTCAAAAAACGTGCAATTATGCTACTGAACACTCCAAATGTATGCAATTTTACTGGATAACAGGTTGCCATCTATTTTAGCAGATTACCTGCTTACGTGTCAGCTGAGTTGGCATTTTTAATAATTTTTAAATAATTTTCAATAAATTTCAAAAAAATTAAAAAATTAAAAAATTAAAAAATTAAAAAAAAAAAATTAAACCCCGTCATTTTTTTTAAAATTTATTATTAAAATTTATTAAAAAAATATTTAAAAATGTCAATTCAGCTGCCACGTAAGCAAGTAACCTACTAAAATTGATGGTAACCTACTATCATGTGAAATTGCATACATTTGAAGTGTTCAGTGGCCTAATTGCACTTTTTTGTTCAGTGACCTAATTGCATTTTCAAGTTACGTTCAGTGGATAATTTGAACCTTATTCCTAATTTATTTATACATAAATTATACCAACACTAATAATCTAATATATAAAACATCAGCGGAAGACTTTACTTAGGAAAAGGAAAAAACGGGAAGTGATATGCCACATCCACCTCAATGCGGATGCACAGGCTAGTCTGAACAAAACATACTATTCATATCCTTACAACCATGACACACAGGCCCAAAACACTAACTGATCAGTCCAAGGGAGCTACACTAACAACCCGACAGCTAACGCGCTCGCCATAAGCTACTCAAGCCCTGTAAAGCAACATAAAGAAAGGGGACGACACTCGGTCAGCGAATATTGCTTGTAACCCATCAATACGCGTTAAGTAGCATATATATATAGTATAAAACAAAACCATTTTCGAAACGGGATGTAGTATATATTAGTTCAAAAGTCATAGAGAGAAATCGACTGCAAAGACTCTATTTTACTCTCAAAAGAACAAGGGAAATCAACATCCCAAGACAATGACAACAACAATAACCAAATACAACTCGAGGTGCATTCTACTGATCACAAAGTAGAATACCACTCTACATGCTCATTAACAAAGAATAAACATTCAATCATTGGCAACTACATGCCACAGTGACACTACATGTCACAAGATTCACACAGTTCCAACCTTATGCCCGGTTCCAACCTTATGGCTACCCCCGGCCTTATTACAGTTCCAACCATTACCTCCGAGAACCCCTGTACTTCTGAGTCCAACCTTATGCCTCCGGGAACCGTCGTTCCCCCACCTACAACCACCAACATTTCCACCTACACATAGTACACGAGGGTACCGTTCATTTCAATCACACAACTACCAACAAGTGAGCAAAGCTCAAGTCACACCACCAATTTCATTTCATGGCCACCACGAGGACCACATATGTACCTTGGTGATTAATGTCCCATACCATTAACCGTGCAATCAAGGTACAACCAATACACACATTTTCATCACCGGAATCAATCAATGGATCACAACAAAGATATGAAACCATACTCAACAAGGAAAGGTTACAATCCGACACCAACAATGGTCAACACAAGTTGCCAACCTCAATAGGAAAGAACAAACCACACACTCTAGCATTTCAACATCAAACTAGCATGCTTATCAAACGGGTAAACCAAACATAGTTCCGTAGAGCATACAAGACTCATTATGGTCCAACGAATCACAAAGTTAAATACTTAGCACGATTCAAGACACCAAATCCTACATGGATTCCTAACATACCGTTCTAGACATACGAAACATCAAGAAGACACTCAAATATCCCAATAAAACAACATCGGGAGGTCAAAACATCAATTACCGAGTCAAAAAAAATCACGGGGAACAAATCCTCGACTGACCACCAACAGTGTACCCCGCGGGTGGACCTCCACCCGTGGTTCCGCCCGCGGGAACCGAAGCCCAACACGTGTACCCCGCAGGTGGGGCGGCGGGTAGGCTACTGCCCGTCGTTCCGCCCGCGGGTACGCCCTGTACCACGAAATAATCCCTTCGGGGATTTTCAATAACAAGACCAAATTCAAGTCCAAAATCTCATAAAATACAACAATATGACTTGAACCCAAGAAATAGCAAGTAATGGCATACAAGAACCCTAATAACAAGCTCTAGATATGCATTACCACAAGACAATGCATCAAAACTCACATTTCATAGCAAAAATCACAAGTAGAAGTCAAGAAATCATCATATAGGTAAGAAAATAGATTTTGTAAAGCATGGGTTACCTCATTCGCTTAACATTCAAAAACAACGCTAAGCTACCGGGAACCTGTGAATCAAACTGATCCTTCACTTTAATAACAAAACTAATTAACCTATGAGGGGGTTTAAACCTTAGCTTATCTTAAGATTAACCACACCCTTAACCATCTAGCCTATGATGGTAAACTTATTAGAATGTGAACTAGGCAACAACACTAATTATTAAGTTAATAACCAACCCAAGGTAAACTTAACAATTAAAACTAATATCTAGTGCTTAGGCTTTGTGAAAATCGAACCCTAGATATCCTTTAAACATTAACCCCTATCTTACCACTAAACTAAGCAACACTTTAATAATATTAATTAACAACAAACTATTTAACATCTAATAAGCAACAAGGATAGGCAAAGCTCACCACTGACTATCGGAGAGACGTCGACCGTCACCGCCAGAGAAAAGCTGCCACCTTACTTGCTCCGAGGTTGCCGTAGGAACGTCGAAGGGGCAAACCAGTTGCTGTTTTGCCGAGCTCCACCATCTGTTCACACAAGCCATGCAGGTCCGTCACCCGAGCTGCCGGTGGAGGGCTGTTGTGGTTGTCGTTGATGGACTGTTCGCTAACCGGAGAACCACAACACTGCCGCCGACTTGCTTGCTACGAGAACTACGCTGATCGCCGGAGCTGCTAACGGTCTCCAAAGTTACTCACGATCAACCCTCACCACTGTAGGTCAAAGAAAGGGAAAGAACACGGATGGCTTCGCTCACCTTTCGGATGGACAAGATGAGGCGGAAAACGGCAGAAGAAGAAGAAGAATCATAATACATGTATACTCCATCTATTTTGAGTAGGGTAGATTTCTATTTGTGGGTTGGGTTGGGCTTAGGCTAGATTAGATTAGGGAATTGGGTTGGACTAGACATTTTGGACTCACAACATATCACTCATATATTTATATATACACTCATGGGCTTGACTATTGGGTGCAAGACTCATAGTAAATAGTTATATTTTGGGCTTAAGGCATTTGGATACGAAAATAATAATTCATATAATAAATAGACCCGAGCCCGCTTTAAATTAAATAGCTATATAAATATTTTTAACAAAATATTTAATATCGGGACTATAGTTTATTTTAGGAAAATACGGAGTGTTACAAAGACCATTCAAGATCTCAAAAATTCATTTTCTCAACTCATGGGGAGTAATCATTATCAAATATTATACAACTAATTTGTTTCAGGCAAATTATCATGACGTAATTTATTTCTAGCTTTCAAACACATAGCATTTTAAATAACTATATCATGATAACTTTGACATGATCATAAAATATTTTGGACTATATAGCATAACACTAAGGATAGAAATTCAAGACTTTTCATGAGTCATTATCCATCCAAAATCAATCCCATATGAGGTCTTCCAGACTTTTATTAAAAATAACGGTCCGATGACCAGACACATTACCAAGTAGGAAAGGCTTAGAACTCATAAAGTACATTCCTACAAAAACTAAAATTTTGATGTCTTGTAAAAATCAATGACATTCAAAATACTTATTATAATCTGCTCATGTACTACTACAGGAGTACAAGGTGACTATCACATATGACAATGAGACCCACACTATTTTAAAATAATTTTAGTTATGTACTTCTACTGGAGTACAACGGATTCATGTACCATCCAAAAGGTACCATCCGAGAATTAAAACCCGTCCAGAAAAGTAAACTTCAAGAAGTAATTAATTCTAAATTGTCAAATGATTCTGGATGATCCACGAGAATTAACTTCTCAGATCATTCATTATATGCATTAATGGATTGCAATAATTTAATGATCGTATGCTCGTAGTGATCCTTCAGGGATTAACTTAGGCTCTATGAATCTTTTTCGATCAAATATTCATAGCCGATGGTTTAGACCAAAATGTGTCAAATAAAAATTAGTGCTCTTAGTGTTTACCTTCTGGGCAAAACTATATTAAAAATTAGGCACTATCATCTTGTTTGGATACTCAGATTTGAGATTTATTTCAATGTCCGAGACTCATGTAAAAGGATTTCTAAAATAAAGACTAGCACCATAAATAAGCTTGAACTTGGACAAATAATCAATTGACTTCTAAATAAATACCAAGTCAATTTTCATTAGGAGATTGTCCTAGTGTTGTTATATTCTAATTAGTGCTATGACTTGTCGTCTTCTGGGCAATGCTATGTCAAAAAATTGAAGCTATAATATCTCTTAAAACGTAGGGTATGAGTTATATCACAACATTCAGGCTCATATCATGTAATTGTTATAACAAGAACAAGTTAATGTTTAGCAACAACAGGTGCAACCTAACAAAATCATGTTTCCAGTGGCCTATAGCAAATAATTAATTGCCAAAAAGAAAGATAACAAATTCTCTTATATGAGCCTAATCAAGAGATTATATGCTAAATTTTGTCAAATAAGGAGAAGCATATTCAATATGTGATATAATTGTCCCTTGTATTGGACACCAAAAATTCAATTGAATCATGCACATCCATTTTAAACAAAGAGTATCATGTTTGGTATACACAAGGCATGACATGACAAGAGATATTCTATTAACTCATAAATTAGAAAGTAAAATGAGAGAAGTACCGTGTGCCGAAGGATAATGAGCACATGTTTGCTGCCGGGCCCATTTATTCTTATTTCGGGGAGTAAAAAACAACACGTTTCCAAATAAGCTCTCATTTTATCTCATAGTTTCATAAAAGCATCAAAACAACACAAAATAGCAAGATATACAAGCTGGCAGAAAATTTTTAGATTTTTGACCTGGATTACAGGATTTTTTGGGGAAGAACGGTAACTCATTTTGACACAAAATTTACCAAATAAGAAGTACATCGAGCCTATAGAGATGGAAAAAACTGCTAATTTTTAGCATATATTGGGAAAGATCTCACATACCCTCACCGAAATGCCGAGAAAACTTGTGCGGATCTCATGAACCAACAATCACACATTGTACAACATATTGAGAAATTCACATCTCAAGAAATAGTAGAGAATAGACTTCGCTTGAGAACTTCAATTGAGGCAACGAGATGACTTGCATTTCAAGGATATTCTTTTAGAGGCCATGACGAGTCAATAACATCAACGAACCGTGAAATTTTTTTAGAGCTATTGAGTTTCATTGCCTCTTTTAATGATGAAGCAACAAAAGTTCTTGATAAAGCTCCACGAAATGCATCATATACATCACCAACAATAGAAAAGCAAATTTTGCAAGTGTTGGCAACTAAAGTAAAAAGTGATATCCGAGAAGAAATTGGTGATGCAAAATTTTGTATCATTGGTGATGAAGCTCGAGATGAATCAAAGAAGGAACAAATGTCAATTGTCTTAAGATTTGTTGATAGAGATGGCTTTATACAATAGCGTTTCTTTGGAGTTGTTCATGTTAAGGACACTAGTGCATCAACTTTGAAAGAAAGTATATTTTTATCTTATCTCGTCATAATCTTGATGTTCAAAATATTCAGGGACAAGGTTATGATGGTGCAAGTAACATGCGTGGAGAATAGAATGAATTGAAAAATTTAATCTTGGATGAATGTCCTTATGCTTATTATGTTCATTGTTTTGCACACCGATTGCAATTGGCATTAATAGCTTCTTCAAATGAAGTCATCCTTGTCCATCAATTTTTCACCAAGTTGAACTCTATTATTAAATGTTGTTGGGGCTCTATGTGAGCGCAATGACCAGTTGAAAGTTGCTCATGCCTCAAATATTGCTCATTTGCTTAGTATTGATGAGCTTGAAAGTGGGATGGGTCTTAATCAATTGGTTATTTACAAAGGCCGGGTGATACTCGTTGGAGTTCTCATTTGAAATCTATTTCAAGTTTGATGAGAATGTATAGTGCAACATGTGAATTTTTACTTAATAAGTTTTGTAACCCCTTTTAAATTTTAGTTTGCATGTAAGTGTTCTTGTAAAAACGTTAGGCTGGGTTTGACGTGAATAATATTCTAAATAAAAGCAATGAGTAAAGTAAAGAGAGAGATTTTTATAGTGGTTTGGTTGTTAACTAAGCCTGGTCCATTGTGTCTTCACAACGCGTGAATGATTGCACTATGTCCCTATAGTACAATGACCACCAACAGTTCACCCCTTAATCACAAAGTCGACGATGACTGTTTCACCAGGTTTTTCAACTCAACAAGAGTTTACTCTGCCTCTTTCTACTAATCCAAGTAGAGAAAACAAGATGAAGAATAAGATTTTCTTCTTTTTCCAACTGGAAATCTTGGCTCTTGAATCTGAAAATTTGAACGTTGCAGTAGCTCAAGACTTCGCAAATCTGGATGTTGCTTTGAAGCTTTTGTCTCTCTCACTGGTCACTAGAACTTAGAGGATTTTCACCGTTTTTCTCTCACTAGAATACTTAGAATGACCATCACCTTCTTCTGAAAGTGAAGAGGGTATTTATAAGCTTGGAAATTGTTTCGTTGGAGGGAAAACAAAATTTCAAACTGCCTATGCGACCAACGAGTACTAACTGATGGGTAATCCAGAGAGGTACAAGAGTTGTCAGATTTCTAGCAGTTGAATCCTTAAACTGTGTAGAAAGTTTGCTTTTGATCTTCACACATTATCTTGGCATTTAATGCGAAATTGAACTTGGGATATGTTCCTAGGACTCACTTTGTCTTAGGATATATCAATTTAAGGTTAAGGATTGTTTTACGCTAAGAGAATAATTCTGGCTTGTCCTACAAAGTTGTTAACTAGGTTAACGCCTCAAACCTTGTGTCCTCTCGGATATGATTGATTGACTTTACCAATCATCCCTTAATTCCTCGAATGATCTGTCTTATCACTCGGTCTTGATAAATACACAAGAGGTAGACCCTTCCATGATTCGGTCTTTGCAACCTCTCGGTCTTCATCTTCAACTCTTCATCTTCGAATCTTTGTTTTTAGTTATTCGTCTCAGATTAACTCTTCGGTTTCGAGTCGTTGAGAGTTAATCCCTCGAGTAACTCCTCTGTATGAGATTTTGACCTCCTCGAGTATTTGTTTGGTTGAGTACAATTTGTACACTCGGTTTAAACATTTGTTTAATATTCGAATGTCACAAAACTTATTCTAAGTCTTGAGAATAAAAAGATTGGGAAGGGGAAGGGGAAGGGGAAGGGGGGGGGGGGTCTAAACTCCTAAGCTTGGTATCATCATAATCTAATTACAAAGTGTTCCTAACATTATTGAAGATGGAACTACACATGCTCACCGTGGAGATGTCGATGGAGCTTATGAGGTACTCACTTCTTTTGAGTTTGTATTCATTATGCATCTCATGAGAAAAATTTTCGAGATTTCTAATATGCTTTGCCAAGCTTTGCTACTTTAATCTCAAGAAATATTGAATGCAACGCATCTTGTGTCATATACTAAATTGCTTATTCAAAATTTAAGAGATAGTGGATGGGATGAATTAGTTGCAAGTGTGAAGTCTTTTTGTGAAACTGTTAACATAACTATGTCTGATTTTTATGCTCAATATATTGCAAGAAGATGAAGGGATAGACATCAACAAGATGAATTAACAATTGGGTATCATTACAAATTTGATATTTGTAATGCCGTGATTGATTCTCAGTTGCAAGAGTTGAGCAATATGTTTGATGATAAAGTAATAGAGTTAATTATTCTCAGTTCATCGTTAGATCCAAAAGAGGTGCGTATATCATTCAGAATTGATGACGTTTGCAAGTTAGTAGAGAAGTTTTACCCTCAAGACTTTGAAGATT